TTATAACGTTTCCCTCGTGTTCTACATTCCCCCTTTCTTCGAACACAGGTGAAACATGGACAGGTTCTAGCTTACTATACATTACATTACATGCCATGACTTGAATCTAGAACGATCGAATACTGGTGCCACCTTGCGCCAAGTACGACCAACACGTAGTAGTAGTCGTACTAGTAGTCCTTGGTTCTGTGACAGTGTCTTGCGACAACGGACCAAAGAGTTGTATGCTGTCCCTTTGCCACTTCAACATGGCAAACACAATATACATGGCAGTGAGTGTCCCATAATAGTTAGGACACCTACTTGGTGACTACTAAGGTCGTCTGTTTCAGCATCCGATACACGGTTTGGTATGTTACTTGATGCGCGTTCCGTTGTCGTGGCAAGGGCTTGATAAGGTGTTGGAAGAGAGCGGGAAACAACATGTCCAGCGTCATCGCATCCATGGCGGCCACGTCCTCGACACTCGCGGCCATTCCTAGCTCCACCGCCGCATTCGTCAGTCGTGTCATGACGGTTCTAGCTCGAGATAAGTTCCACGCTGCTTTTCTTCCGACATCGGATGCTTTTAGGTGCCGGTACGGACCAATCTCAGCATGCGCGTCGTCCCCGCGGTACCACAACTGCCACATGGTGCGGCAATCTGTGCTTGGAAACGTCCACAGGTCGCTTTGGACGCGATTTCGCAAGACGGGAGATGGATCGTTCTGGAGAAGGTTGTATATCGAATGCAACGAGTAGGTCGAGTCATTTTGAGCCAGGGGGCCCATGAGGTAGTCGGTGGCGTGGACGTACAGGTGCTGAATCGTCGACTCGAACAACGCCCGCAGCTGAGGTGGAGGTAAACGGGCAATCGCATCCTCTGACGTCGCCATGCCTTGGGCCAATGCGATGTCCACCAGCAGCGTCATCACGCTACACATTGCCCCCGTCCTCGCGATTTCCATGTTCTGAGGGAGGTGATGAGTCGAAAGATGCCGAAATGCGCTGATGCCATGGGTCGCGTCGCCATGAAACCACAACGTCCACACGGTGTCGCACATCGTCGAGGGAAATGTCCAATCTTCTGGAACGGCAAACTGTTGATCGTTGGACCACTGAAAGGTTTGGATCGAAATGGCCGAGCGAGGGGGTCGAACGACTTCGCAAGGTTGGGTAGTTGCAGTGGACGATTGCTCGGAGCATGTACGGGACGGAGAGCTTGGTAGCAATAGCTCACGGGTAGGACACGTCGTCACGGCTGGATTACATGAGGCCACTTGATTGGCATCGTCTTGGTAGCGAGCATAGGGGAGGTTAAGAAAATGTCCCATCGATACTGCCGAGTGCGATGACGTCGGTGGCCGCTTCCATTCCATGAGCCGCTTTCTGGAGTGCGCACGTCGGTCCAAACAAGCTCCCCCTGGTTCAGTTCCACTTCGCTTCGGGTGCGACTGCAATCGTGCCCAGTGTTTGGAGCATCGCCGCCTCTTCTGACCTGCTGGCATCAGTATTCCCTGAATCGAAAATGAGCGATACAGAGAAAAACTGGGAATAGGGTAGAGCTAATCAAAACGTTGTATTTGGAATTCTACCAGTTTGATTGGCCACTTGGTTACTGTTCTGGTTTTTGATTGGCTGGTCGATCGTCTTTAATTGAGCACCCACCAACCATGCTTTATTTTCAATAATCAAACCATTTTGACGTACTATTAATATTGAAATATTAATAGTACGTCAAAATGATTTGTTTATTGAACCGACGTAATAAAGTACGATTACAAGGTTGATGGTGGGTCTGCATTTAGCCCTGTGGTCGACATCAATTCCCCCCACCCACGCACGTCGTGTCCGTACACTACTGTAAGTAGTGTTTGCTCACACGTGTTGGTGGCATTGAAATGGCCAGAGTTTCGCGACGCATTGCATGGAGTTTCGACCAGGTGCGGTCCACATGAATCCCTAATGGGAGAGCGCTAGATGAATGTGATGGGTATGTTGTATTTATCAAGTGTGTGCACAAACTATGGTCGCTATGTCGTCGTCGGGCCTCTCGTCGTAGTGGCAGGCCACCAGCACCACGGAAGCCGTGATACGAACGGCTTTGGCCGAAGCTACCTTGATCTCCATGTGCCTCCATTAGACGATGCCGTAGTTGCAGTGATTATTACGACCAACACCGCTTGGAGCTACCAGTATAGCGGTAGAGTTCACTTCATATTTATGCTTTATAAGCATTGACGCAGAGGGTATACGGTTGGTAAGGATGATGAAATGCACTAGACACGAAGCCCGCGATTGCAACTCTTCGTTCTTTCCAAATCGAATTGATCATGAGTGCACCAGCTTTACTACAGGAAACTCGTTGCACCAAACTTCCTTGTAGGAATACCCATCACTCGGAGATTGCAAAGAATACTATATCCTATAGCAAAATCAGCCTAACCGTTAGTTCTGCATATCTCAAAGCTTATATAACGTTAGTTCTGCATATCTCATTGCTTATATATTGCTTCCGCGGGCCAGTCACTCATAACGTTATATGCAATTTGGACGTGTGCAGCACGTTGTGCTATGGAAGGGCCCCGGTTAGCTTCATGCTCTGCCCGTGAATACTCGAGTCCACGGTCGTATTAAGTGGCATGCTTTCAATATAAACACATTGGCGGTTGGTGCCATCGGGGACAGTAAATTCATGTGACATTGTCGCCGTGTTGGCATATAGTATTAAATAATGACAACGATCTGCAATTATGACGGAAAGATTCATTTCACAATGCGCAAGCACCAGTGTGTTATAACCTTGTCTCGGCCCCACTACACAAGCTGTTTCACCTCTATAATTCCATTTACCTCTCAATAAAAGCAAAACCGGAACGCATCGACGTCCACGGGGGCTTCTCGGTCGTTGTCTGAGTCATAATCATCGTCCATGAGTTCTGTATGGCCGTCGTCGCTGTGTACACTGAGCGTTCGTTTGGGTTTCCCAACATCACAGTGCACCAGATCCGGCCGTTTATCCAGCGGAACGACCTTGGACGCGTCGGCTTCCCGGATCATGGCGCGAGCTAGTGCCACCATGGGATCAACCAGCACCATGCCATCGATTTCAGAACCAGGCAGGGCCATGGGGATTTCCGTGCACCCCAGAATGGCGACCTCGGCCCCCAAGGCGCGGAGCTGGGATGCGAACGAGTGGAAGTTGGCGATGGCGCGGGGGTGGATGCTGGGGGACGTGGCCTTGATGCCCCACTCCGTGTTGAAGATCGTGTCGTTGAGGGCCTCTTGCTGTGACATGGGCACTTCCACGACGGTGTATCCCCGCGGCTCCAATAGGTCGTGATAAATGCGCGAGTGCCGCGACCCGGTTGTGGACATGACTCCGATCGCTCGGGCGGAGGGAGAGATCTCGGCCACCATGCGCACGGTTTCTTGAAGCATATGCAGAAGCGTGACAGACTCCTCCGACGCCGCCGCGGCCACAAACGTGTCCCAGATGGGCGGCGCGTGGAACGTATTGCACGGTACCCCAACGATGAGCTTGGCTTGCCGCGTGATGGCGGCGTGGACGAGCATCTTTAAGCTTCGCGCCATACCCAGTGCCGGGTTTTCGATTGTGATCGCGCTCGAAGCGTGCTGTGAGAGATACGTCGGACGCGCCGCGATGTCTGCGGACCGGGACACATGCACGACGTCCAGGTGTCCTTGGTCCGTACCATGGTTCTGGGTGTGCCTCAGGATGGCTTGATGAAGGACAAGGCCAGCCGCCGGCCCCACGCCACCGAGGATGCCGAGCAAGGGTTCTTGCTGCGATGCCATGTGCCGAAAATACTACGCTGGCCATCCGGATAAAGTACTCATCACGGATTGGCTGGAGAACCTCACGAATGGCACCAATCGTAGCCTCCCTGTCAGACTCGTCTATCAAAGCCTAATCAAGCCACATCATGACGCCAAGCAAAATAACGTGAAAGAAATATTAATACTCCAATGTGGTGCTGCTTTTCACTCGTTTTGGCTATTCACACCATAAACCTGGGTGTTACTAACATCGACCCCAATGTTTAGATTATCCGTACAGTACCGTGATTTAGGATACCGTGCGTTTGGGCAAAACGAATGTACAGTAAACTTTACGATCAGTAGATGGGTTAATGAGCAGCAGATCAAGTAAATTGGAAATAACCCATGCGACTTCCAATAAAACTCACCACTTGATTAGAGATCGACTAACTGACGAACTACTCGATCTCCGACGTGATGTAGTATCACAATTTCACCCATTGATACTATTCGGAATTTCCCTACTACCTGATTCTTCGTACATTGTACTAACAAGTTACAAAGTCCACAACTTTCTTCAGCCATCTCGCATTGTTTTCGGAGGTGAATCGAAGCTGCTTGTGCCCAAAACGTGTGCAAGTTGATTTCATGGTGACATAGACGAAGCTGGTGTGCAAGTAGATTGAATTTAACATGAGTTCGTACAGTAATGGCTGAGATATCCCTCCACAAGATTACAGTACCGCCAGCAAAGTATTGACCGAAATATTACGTTATATGATAACATCTTTGAGATCCCATAGATGAGTACATTTATGTAAAGGCTGGGAGAAATTTCGCCAAAACTGTTCTTATTAAGGATATTCGATTCAAACCTATATTAAAAACGCAAAGTAGGTTATATGTGTGTCCACATCATCGAGGTTGCACCTTTGGGGGGAATCAGCTTGTCGCTTCAATTCACTTCCCCTCACAAGCGCAGTGAAGCCCAACGCCACCATCGTTTGAATCGCCAAGTGAGATTGTCTATTGACAGCAACCGTGCTGCATGCTTCTGTCGCCATCGATGAATCCCGTTCGAAGAGTAACTATTATATGATGGAGATGTATTCATACCATTAATAAAACGTGTTTGCTGATCGATTTGATTTGGTTACATAGGGTTTAAATGATCGGCTACTGCGTTTTTGATCAGTAAACCTAGTCTCTTTCGGATTTGCTGAGTTTTTGATTGCAATAGATATATCTTATCAGTAGTAGCAAAGTGCATGCATATTTTGACATCTACTGACGAATTAAAATACTACAGTCCAATTGTATTGATATCAGTAACATTGGAAGTTAGTCAGCTGCTGGTTTAAAGATCTAGTATTGGTTAATTCTTCCATAACTTTTTCCCCATGTATCACTTTTCAGATCTGAAGGTATATACGAATATAGGAGAAATCAGTTCATCGGGTGAGGGGTTCAATAATCAATACAACGGGATATTAAAATAGTTATCGTTGTTTCAAATTTCGCTCCTGCCATGCATTCTGAGCAAATTAATATACTCAGAACAGCGATATTTAAATAAAAAATAGTTCTGCACTCAGGCCAAAAATTATAATAATACGAGCGGGCGTACTGAAAGTCAAGTACTACCGTAGTGGATTTTCTCCTTGCAAGTTTTTAAAATTTCGAGCTATTTTATTCCGACCCAAGCAAATGCTTGGATTCCCCATGTCGCGAATGCACATAAGTTTATCACCATTCATATTTAGCCTTCAAAACTGGGGATTCATCATCTTTAATTCAAGACGAAGCGATTAAGAAAATAATGAGCTAAATCCGACCAGTATTTGAAAACGAAGTTTTGCCCAAACGCACGGTATGGGGGAGGGAAAATAGCTCAGTGGTAGAGCATCGGTTTCTTAACTCAAAGGTCGTGGGTTCGATCTCCGGCTTCCCTGGATTATTTCCGCAAGGATTTATCCGTCCGTCCTGGGGAATCCAGATAACAAGGGTTGGCGTACCGTATTCCGTAATACGAGTTAGACACTCTTTACTATAGTAGTTAGACACTCAGATTAATAATATTGTTTTGCTGCTGTGCAAAATAGAGTTTGATTGACTTTCCTTTGCCGCGTGAATGAACTCCTGTATCTTATATATACTGCATAAGCCAATATTGTATCGATTTATAGAATGTTTTCGTCGAGATATGTACTGTTGGCGCCAAATACACTAAGCCTGCCACACAGCCAACCATTTTTCATCTGCATGGCTGAAAACTTGCCTGTTCCTCCTGCACCTCCTCGGTCGCGACCTACTGGGCGCCCTGTATGCAAGTACGGGCCTAAGAAGAAGCGGCAGCAACACCACAATCTTGTGTGTAGCTACCAAGAGCGACACGTCGTGATTCAATACTACGGTACACACGGCATGGCTGCCACGTTATCCAAGTACTACACCAACCTCAGCACGACGTCGCGCGAGACGCAACGGGAGAAGATCTACCAATGGTTGGCGAAGAAGGATCACATAGCCGGCATGGTATCGACGACGGGAACATCGAAGCAGAGAAGTTGGTGCCGCCTTGGCGCTGGCACCACCCTCTCCCCCGAGACAGAAGAGATGCTCGTTCGTTGGGAGCACGACATGCGCAAAGACGCGATCCCAGTCACGCACGCAATGCTTCAGCTCATGGCACTCGAAGCCGCCGTCGACGAGGGATACAGTGAACACGAGTTCAAAGCAGGGTGGGGGTATCGGGGTTTCGGGGTTGTTTGGATTCAAGTGACGTCACAAGCTGTCGCTGCGTGCGCGTACTCGAGTCGGTCAAGTCTCCAATGAAGATCGCATAGCGACGCGCCAGGAATTTTCACAGCACGTTCGGGACTTGATGGGTGAGCACGGTGTTGACGTGGTGTACAATGCTGACCAAACCGCTGTGAACTACGAATACCTCCCGACCAAGACGATCAACGACGTCGGCGAGAAGACCTCGTGGCGGGAAGACCAAGGAGCGAGTTACGGCAATGGTGTTGGCGAATTCGGCTGGAACCAAGCACCCTCTGTTCTTGATCCCCCGCACGACGAAGTCCAAAGTCAAGGCCGTTGTGCAGGAGAACCTTGTTGAGCGACAAGGCTTTGGTAAACGGCTGTGGGAGTCTGTCGAGCCTATGGAAGCCAAGTTCAACTGCCGCGTCTACGGAAACCCGACGGCATGGTGGAACGGATCCATTTTGTTGTCGTTTTTGGAGTTCCACTTTTCCGAGCCAGTCCTGTTGTTGTGGGACGACTTTTCGGCGCATTGGACTGAAGAAGTTGTGGCGTACGCGACGTCCATCAACGTCGTGTTGGTGATGATCCCACCAAGGTTTACGTGGATTTGCCAGCCGGCGGATGTTGCGTGGAATCGTCCGTTGAAATCCCGCCTCCGAGACAAGTGGATTGATCTTTTGCGGCAACAAATTAGGCGCTCGAAGACAATGAAGACACAGTTCAAAGTCCAGGCCCCATCGCGAGCAATAGTGGTCTCGTGGATTACGTCTGTTTGGACTGATCTACCTGAATCTACAATTATTATTGGCTTCAGGGTGTGCGATTTTATTGATGGTCAAACAATTGAAACCATTGATGACGGTGGGTATGTCGATGACGAAGTATTAGCTGATTTGATGGAAAATTTAGCTGTCAAAGCTGTGATCAACCCAACTAGTGACATTGATAATTGTGATGAGATCAATGAATCTGAACTTCTCTAATTGGTTATCAGTAGTGAGCAAGGTATTTTATACCCTGTATGAATTTATGCTCTTGTACAAACTATATTTGTTTTGTAAAATGGTGTCTTGCACGTATATGTAGTATTGTATATCTAACTCGATAAACAAAGTCCCATCCATCCATCCATGTATCCGTATTCGGATATCGACACATCACTGTCTAACTCGTATTACGGAATACGGTACGAAGACGAGGACCGACCTTCTTCGAAGGTCGGTTGAAGCATGAGGTATGAAGCGTTGAGCGAAGTAAAAACCGAAGATTACACACCGCCCGGTTGAGCAGGCGCGTTACAATTGGCGAAGCGGTTCCATAACATGCTGTTCTAGTATCGGCCCTCGCGGAGGAATGTCTTAATCAAATGATAATCCAAGCTCAATTAACCGTGTAAGATGTCACATTTCGTTACAGAGTGTAATTATAAAAGTAGGTTCGTTTAGCAACTCCCTCGCTTGGTTATAAGTGCTTTGACCATGACAGATGAACAACATAATGAAGTTTTGCCTGCAACCCACCAGCTAGCAACGACAGTACTGTACAGTATCTTAGAGTCTGGCACTACTGAAGGTGTGGAGCATCCGTCAGGGGGATCCTCCCTCTGGCGGATGCTCCACACCACCTGGCTGTGGTAGTAGTGGTAGGTCTGGTTGTGGTGGTCGTAGGATGAGCAGTAGTGATTGCTGTGGTGGTGGCTGTGGTAGTAGTGGTTGGTTAGTACTACTGGAGATGTGGAGCATTCGCCAGGGAGATCCTCCCTCTGGCGGATGCTCCACATCACCAGTAGTACCAGGCTCTAAGGTACTGTACTGTACTGTTGTTGCTACTCCGGAGCCCTACACCTCGACCACGGATATAGCTGCATTGCATTTGGCACTATAATGGCCAATTTGCCATCACCCGGGGGTTCACTGAACTTGGACGTCAGCTTCGTATGTCCCAATGAAGATGGTCACATTGCACGCCTGGCTAGAACACGTAGACGGGAGACATAAGTTGCTGTAATCCGGGTTTTTATGGCTTTCCCGCATATTCACCCTACTTACAGTAATGGATTGCACGGCACCCGTATATATTGGGCGCTCCCCTTACAGTATTTCACAACATTGTGGATGTAGGAGTAGAATGAAGTCGGAATTGACAGACTGTGACCCCAAATGATGCAGCAAAAAGTAAAGGCAAGAAAATTATGCGAATTTAAGCCAATCAGAATTGAGTCGGATGAAATGTCCGACTTTATTCGATCACAACACAATCCTTTGATCGGGAAACTGCCCTTTAGGTGAGTCCCCGCTACTGCGTCGATTGGACTCACATTGGAACACACTTCACAAGGGAATAAAATGATCAAAATATTTCATGTTGAATCTATACAGACCCTAATATAGAATAAATCATGATCAAGTACAGTATTATGAGCATGCTTTTATGAACTTTCCTACAACAAGCGAAGTCACCCAGTTTGCAATGGTTGGTGCTCGGAGATCGAAGTCCGAAGCACCTGGAGCGACTGTGCCGTTTTAAATGCCCCTTTCTCGACTGCCCCGGTCCGATGTGCTACGTGCAACGTAACAACATCTTAACGCACTGGAACCGTCATCGTAGTGTTGGCGAGGTCGTAGCCTCGGACTGGAACTTGCTCACTGAGGAGCAGCATATTGACTTTGTCAGTGTGCACATAGGTGATATTGCTCCAGGACACCCCGAGTTTGTTATGACCTCTGCTGGTTCTAACATATATGACGTCGTAACCTAAACTGGGGTTTCCGACGGCGACGCGGTTTTGTCCATGCTGGCGTACTTGTGCGAAAAAGCCAATGGCGATTTGCGCACGATTGTGAAAGGGCGTGTCCAAGATAGTGATGACGGTAACACTGAGAACCAAGGGATTGAGGAAGCCGAAACGGCCGACAGAGCGCAACCATCCATTCCTCCGGCGCCGACCGCAGCGTCCAAGAAGTCTACCCGCAAACGTCCTCGTCGCAATTGGTTCAACTAGTTCCAACTAAGGTTATTCTAGTTATTACTTCACTCGTTTTTCAGAACTGGTTAACTATTAACTTAGCACTTCTCTTGAACTCGTTTTTTCGGCACTTGTAAAATTAGTGTAAAAATAACCTCGTTCAACCTTACTTCTTTTTCCGCGACTAGTTTGACCTAATGGTGCTTGTACAACTAGTTCCAACTCGTCTAACTTATTTTTGCGCCTACGATTAGGTACATGTCCCTAGTATTTATACAATAAATTAAAACACGGAATACATGTATTTTTATATGCTTGGGGCGTAGAACATCGTATTTGCATTGCTCTCTGTGTTCGTCAACTCGCGCTTTTGTTGACGCTTCGAATGATGTCTTTTCGATATGTTTCTACTGGTGCCATCAACTTCGTCATGCGGTTAAGCTGCTTGGGGTTCCACTCGATGTCTCGAGCATGCATAATGATCCAGCTAGCACATTCGGCAATTCGTGCAGCCGCGTCGTTGCTTCGTTTGAGGCGTGCCTTGTCGCGGGCATCCAGGATGGTAGAAATATCCTCCGAGATTGCAGTTCGCGCCATTGCTCCATATACCCCGCCTGATGGACCGAGTTGTCCGTTGGCAGCTTTCGTGGCTTCGATTTCTTGATACTCCAACTTCGACGTAGGAAACACCCAGAACGGCGGGGTGTACATTCGCACTTTGAGCTTGGGTGCGTGCAGCTAATGTACACATTACACACATATTCTCAGCAACTAAAATTTACTTACTGTATTGATCGAATGCTCAAGGTTAAACCTGCGGATGAGGTGCTTACACGCAAGGAACTCCGAGTTCGGAAACTGAGGACAACTGCAACGCCAACTGTTGAGGTTTATAACGTAATGGGTTGAGTACTCTGCATTCGCAACTTTCAGGGCGCACTGTTTCCAGTACGCGTTAAAGCGTCCCTCCCATGCAGGTGAACCTACATTGCGCCACTAGTAAGTCTAGGTTCCCTAGATGGACTGGGTGAACTAGTTGTGCTAAACCACCTAGTCGTATCGTAGGACATTTGACGGTGATGGTGATGCGTACCATAACTTTTCTTGGCATCTGAAGCACGGCGAAATTTATCAACGAACCATTCCTGGACGTTGACGAACGTGACCGACCAGTGATGTGCCGATTTATTTCATCCAATTAAATCGTTCGAGCTGTATTATTGGACAAAACAGAACCTCTCATGCCAAAAATCTTGTAAAAGTTTATGGTGGGAAAAATTATTATATGTAAAAGGTTTTCGAGTTTGAATTCACATCCAAATGCCGCCTCGACGCCGTACACTGACAACACCTTGAGAGCAGCCGTTCAGACAGTCCTATCCAAAGCCCATTCAGTAGAGCAATTATCCACACGAATTTTCCAATACATTTTCCCTGAAAATCCTTCGGGGAACCCTGTACAAGTAAGCAGAACTACCGCTGTGTTTGTTGTTGCAGCAGTTCTGGAGCACCTACTAGTACTGTAGTGCACGCCTCCCAATGGTTACGCATATCAACAGCCCTGTGTACAGTACTGTACTGTAGTAGGTGTAATGCGTGCAGTTTGTGATCTTGCACCATCCCCATTAGCTGTACGGTACTAGTACACTGTAGTGTGCGTCGTGCCGACGTACAAACATGGCCGCTTTGACGAGGTCGATAAACACAGGGATAGGATGTACTTGTTGGCTGGTTTACGTTCGGCACTATTCCACCGCTCGCCTACGTTATCCTCGCTCATCTACTAGTACGTCCTACATACCGTACCGCTCATCTACGTTTGGTTCTTTCCTCGTCCCACTTGACAGGACACTTCGAAAACATGTGGGTATTTGACCCACCTGCTGAACATTGCCACGTGGTACGGTTTTGTGTGCGAATAAGTGAGAATGTGCAGTATAGTTCCGCAATATCTTATTCCTGTTCAAATATAATATACCTTTATCATTTTATAGATTCCAGTCTTCTCGCCTGTTTTTTACACAACCCTAATCCATACTTAATTCAAATATAAAATTCGGCCCATCACTGGTCGTCAATGTAAATTTTGCAACTTGCGAAATTATTTACGTCATCGCGAACTGTCTAAATCCATTGTGTTTAGGTGTATGTGACATATCTTGACGTGCTCTTTCAGATTACGTCCAACACATCGCTATAGGATAAATACTTCATGAGGAATTCACGAAAGAAAAGAGAAAAAAATCGGCACATCACTGGTCGATCACGTTAGCACAAAAAGTCAAGCCGAGGCCTTGTGAACTCCTACTCGACGTTTGACAACGCGAACGGCATGATTGTCTTAATTTGAGAAATCGATTTTTCATAATCTAAAAATGACCCTCAGCAAGCATGCTTGTTCGATGGCAGGCAATTGCCTTAGGATTTGAAGATCTTGCCCAAAGTTGGTAGTCGGTCCAGTTGTACCAGTTGTTGAATAAGTACACGAAGAGGAAAGGCTCTTTCGACGTAAGGCATAACTGGTAGATTTCACACAAAGCCGCCTTGTACATGCATTCGGTTGTGTTGCCCTATTTTGCCAACGCAACGAAATCAACTAGGTCAACTAGCAATGCGAATGCAACGAGGGGTGACTAGGTAAACTAGCAATAAGTACCTCTGTCGCCTGTGGCGATAGAAGTGGATGATTGTTGTAGTGCCGCTTCAGCATCTCCAAGAGGGTCTCAAGAAGTGATGGACTTGCGAACTTTGGATCACTTTGACCTTGCATGTCTTCAACGCACGGAAAGGCGGTACTGTACTGAGCCAACCCAGTCAACGTACTCGATGGCTTGTACCTACGATGAATTGAAAACAACCCTTCTAGTTCTGACCTACCTAGCAACACTAGGCAGCTCTTGTTGCCGATTGAAACGCTGCTGAGTAGCGCGGTCGATATGCCAAAGGCACAACGAAATCTTCGCGTCAGGCCACGCTGATAATGCAGCACCAATTTGTGCTCTGGCTTTATCCATGTGAATAAAGTATTGATCCAGGCCAGCTATGTCGCGCAGAGCACGAAACCAGGACAGGACGTACGCAACGCGTACTTCTGACGTGTCTATCAATTTACAGAATTTAAAAACCAATGAAATAGGCTGACACAACTCACCCCCCTACGTGACGTAGTGGTGCTAGTAGTAACTAGTTGAGCTAGAGTACCCACCATTCTCTTTCAGGAAGAAGTATGAAATAGGATATCCTTCTCCCCGAAACGACACGATCATGACAAACATTTCAAAGTTGGATCGCGTCGTCATGTGAGTGGAATCCACAACACACTAGTTGATGGTATGCACCGAACAGGCGATGATGTCAACGAGATCGGGAAGGACAAAGTACAAGTTCTCGACAAACCGTAACCCGGTGGGCTGAGCAACTTTGACATGGCTGTTCTCGTGTCCACGCAAGTAGAGTGACGCCGACTTGTAGGGATCGGGGTCCATGTTGCACTTGCTGAGGACACACTATACATGCTAGTAGCAGGATTAATAATCGACATTTTAGATACCTTGCGCCATTGATATCCTATTTGATGGATTGATCGTATAGTTGAATTCTGAAGGGACTTGTCGCGCGGCATGCTGTCCCGGATTAACAAAGGTGTGAGTGATGTTACCCGTTATTGTATGTACTGGACGAGAGACAGGGGGACATCTTGGGATTGAGACTCCACACCAGGGTGATGTATTTCGTGAAATAGGCGCACGAATACACATTGTCGTTGAATACACAGATAGCAGCCCTAGTAAAATCACGCAAACTCGTCAAACTAGTTGACACTGCTTATACTAAGTTAACTACTACCTAGGAATACACTACATTAGACCCAGTTAAACTATCGACACGAAGCAAACTAGTACGAAATATACTACCTCCACAATCGAATGCATTTACGCGACCACGATGTCGGCGCATCTTTGGGTTGATGTCTATAGACCGGAAGTGGTGTCTTGCGATTGCTGCTGTCGTTCCTGTCGCTGAGAGCAACGGAAGCTTGATAGTCTCCCACTCTTGTTGCTGCCGGTCAGCTTTCCATTTACCATAAACCTACACCATGTTAACACAATACCATCGTATAAGCTTACCCAAAATTAGTAGTCATGTTGTTGTGTTTATTCGAAACTGGAGCGACATGGAGAATGAATCGACACAACCTAATGTACAGAAGAATCGGCAGAAGGATTTAGCCATTCAGATTGCAGAAACCACTATCAACGTCAAATCAGCCAAGGGTTTGGGGGCTACTAGCGCGACGACGACCACCCTGCCACTACGACGAGAGGCCCGACGACGACATAGCGACCATAGTTTGTGCACACACTTGATAAATACAACATACCCAATCACATTCATTTAGCGCTCTCCCATTGGGGATTCATGTGGACCGCACCTGGTCGAAACTCCAAGCAATGCGTCGCGAAACTCTGGCCATTTCAATGCCACCAACACGTGTGAGCAAACACTACTTCCAGTAGTGTACGGACACGACGTGCGTGGGTGGGTGGAATTGATGTCGGCCACAGCAATCTAAATGCAGACCCACCATCAAACTTGTAATCGTACTTTATTAGGTCGGTTCATTTGGCAGGTACAATGTTGGAAACGAGTGGTTGAAGAAAGCTGTGATAAATGGCAGCT